TTAAAACCTTTTCTTGATTGGCTAGTTACTGGAGACTAATAATGTGATGAGAAAAAGACAATGGACAGATCACGACAAGCAGCCAAAACCAGCTGCATAAGGTGGGTTGCATCCAAAAAAAATTTTTTACTTTCTGAACAATCCGATAAAATATGCAGCTGTTAGAACGTTAATTAAAACTTACAGATAAAATCTTCTTGTTTATACGTTAAACCTGATGCAGACCTATGAAAAGGGATCAAAAATGTTTGTTTACATAAATTGAAGTGTTGCTGAAAAAAGTAAAGCTATTGTTCAAGCTCAATTTAATATACTTTATAAATTTACAGATGAAAAGTTAATCCAAATGCAAACAATTTTTGTGGTAAATAACTGCATTTGGATGTTACTACTTATTTACAAAATCTATAAAAAAAATTGAAGCATTCACTGCTGCCAAGTGCTTTCAACTTATAAAATTTATAAGTTAATAGATAAAATATTAGAAATATAACAGAATAAAAATATGAAATTTGAAAGTTATGAAGAAAAACTCAAAATAGCAATAAAATTTATTACAGAATTCTTATTATTCTTTTTTAAAAATTAAATACAAAATATTAATGTAAATAATTTTTAAGTAATAAAACAACAGCTTTAATGCAAAATGATAAATACCATAACCAAAATGTCAGGTCAGTCCATAAGTTCCTACCTATTTTATGACCTTGAGAAAAATCTTGTTTTGCTGTTAAAATTGTCAGTCTAATGTGATACTTTTTACACTGAAGTGTTAAATTGGATCTCATTCATATAATACTGCTCAGAATTAGGAACATTTCAGTTGTTTATTTTCATTAAAATGGAAATAACAGATGAATATAAGAGACATGTTTTATACTTTATATTTTTAAGTGGTGAGAATGCTACAAATGCAGCCAAAAAATTAAATACTGTTCATAATCAAACTGTAATTAGTGTAAGGACTGCGCAGAAGTGGTTTGAAAGATTTAGAAATAATGATTTTAGTGTGGAGGATAAGGCTCGTACTGGAAGACCCGTTGACTTTGATGATGATGCTCTCTCTGCACTAGTTGAAGCAGAACCATCTTTAACAGTTGATGAAATTGCGGAACGTTTAAATTCATCCCATGGAACTGTTCATAGACATCTACAACAAATCGGAAAAGTTTCAAAGCTAGGAAAATGGATACCACATGAACTGTCAATAGCTAACTGACAACAACGTCAACTGCTCAACTCCAAAGCTTCAACTGGGAAATTTTACCTCATCCACCATATTTGCCAGATATTGCTCCCAGTGATTATCATCTTTTTCGGAGTTTGCAGAATTTTTTAAAAGGAAAAACTTTTGAGGATGAGAACAATGTAAAAAAGGCTATTTCTGAATATTTTGATTCAAAACTGAAATCATTTTATAAAGACGGGATTAAAAAGCTACCATCAAGATAACAAGAAATTGTACAAAATAATGGTAAATACATTATAGATTGAAATAAAATTTAATTAAAATTTTTTGTTGCTTTTTTGTAGATAAAAATACACATGAACTTATGGACTAACCTGATATTAACATAAAATGGATAACTTCATATTTAGATATAAATAACAACAGATATTATTTTATTTTAATCTGCACATATGTACCAGTACAGTAGGGTTTGTGTGTAACTAATAACATTTGGAGCTGATTTATTTCACACCTTTCTAAGTTATACAGAAATGACATCATCATTTACAATCGTTCATAACTTAATCTAAACAAATAATCTAAAATAATTCTAACTTCACTCTAAACAAAATTATTTATTCATTAAAATTATCCACAGATGGTAACATACCTACCTATAATGCTAATAAATTTGTCAAATGCCGTTGGGTAGACTGACGTATTTCATCAAAGAATTCTTATTTCAAACATTTAAATTAATTTAATTCAATTATTTATTCATTAAAATTATCAACAGATGGTAACATACCTACCTATAATGCTAATAAATTTGTCAAATGCCGTTGGGTAGACTGACGTATTTCATCAAAGCAGATTATGTTATAGCAAAAAACACATTTCTTACATGTATTTTATAATTAAAAGATAAACCAAAAACGATTGCTGTATTAAACTGGGCTATGGCTTAGGTAGTAGTAAAATAGCATACTTTAATATGGCAATTGTTTGGTTTATGATTAAAACATTGAGCTTTGAGATGTTTGTATATGTATAATTAAAAAAGATGCAATATTTATGTGGCAATATGGAGAACTTTTCTATTCCACCATCTTTATTTAGAATTATTTCCTTTGGGAGAATGGATAAATGAGAAGCATAAATTATCTCTGTATTAGTTTTAACTTTATTTTTATACAACATATATTAATTTTATAACAACAGAAAAAGAAATATTTTTATATTAAGACTTGCCATAGCTGCTCCAACAGCAAGTCATCAAGTTATTCATCCACTACTGTGTATAGGATATTATGACAGCAATCATTACACCTGGTTCTCTCTGTTGATAAAGACAGGATCAACAACTTTCTCCTCCAGACACCAATAACAGAGGGTTGGTGTAAAACATATCTGGTATCATGTATTTTGTGTACAATTAGTTACACACTCCACTCCAGAAAAAAAAAATGCTTAGTCAATCCATAAAAAGTGCTCAAGCAGTTGCGATCCATCCTGGCGTATATTTAACGTCATGTCACACCAGCTAAATCATCCATCATCTCCTACATGTTGTATCAGNAAATATTATTTAAATTTCAAATACTTAACATTTTGTTATTCAGGTAATGAAATGAAGATCTGATTTGAAAGAAAACAGTATTAGAGTAAGTTTTTAGACCTTCCTTTTTTTGCCTACTTAATCAATTAAATCCTTTATACCAGTTTATAGCATATTACTTTTTAATTAACTAAGATTTTTTACATATTTCTTTGGGTATTTTTGGTTTAAAACACTTAAGAGAGAGATAAACATTATAATAAAGACAATAATTCATTTTTAATTTTAGTGTGTCTGTATCTGCAATTAAAATATATTATTTAAATCATTCACATGATTTAATTCTTACATTTTAAAATGTTTAAGATATTTTTTGTAAACATTTATTAAAAACTTATTAGAGCTCCATTTAAATTAAAATATTAATTGTAGTTAATATGTAACAAGATTTTCAAGAATATATCTAAAATACATATTTTACAATTAATTTTTGAAACAGTATAATGCATAATGTAAATTTGAGAATGATGTAAAACTTGTACTAATTTATTTGTATGTATAAAGTCAATCTAAAAAATTTTCTATATTTGTTTATCTATTCAAGAAAACATTTAACTTAAAAAACCATTCTGTCATCATGACATCATTATCTGTTTCCTATTACAACAGAGAGCAAATGACATGATCTGAAGAAGAACCTAAAGGATGTATGTCTTCAACAATAAATAAAAAGTAAACATTTGTTGTTGAAGATAATCTTTGAATTAAAAAAAAGAAAATCAAATTATTTATAACTAATAAAATTTATTTTGGTCTTCTGGAATCCTAATTGGCAAATTAAATATCTATATTTTAACAAAATCTTTTGAATAGTTTTACAAATTCAATTTTCTAATGGCTTAAAAAGGGCATCAATTAATTAAGCCAGCTTTGTGTTCATATCTCAATTTTATGAAAAATAAATGGAAACAATTGACTAGTTTATACTCAAAACAATTCACTAATTAAACAGAGCATCTAGCTGTTCTATTATTATATAACCAAGAATAATAACTGAAAATAATCACTGTTGTTAGGGGGAAAAAAATATTGAAAACAGTTGAATGAATGCTCTTTTATTTATTTATTTTTTTATTATTATTTCGACAAATTTTCCAGCATCATTTTTGTTCCGATATATTTATTTTACTGAAACAGTATTTTAAAATATTTTTACATTTTATAAAATTTAGTTTTGTTATTAAAAAAGCCTTTACAAAAATAAACAGTAAAATATAATTCAAGATTAAGATTAAAAAAATATATTTCTGAAAGAAATTTCTTTAATTATTGTTGAAACGTAAATGAGTGACATGTTTTTTTTGTCCTTACAGTCAATTAAAAATTATAACAGCTGCTAACACAATTAAAAATGTACAATAAAAATATAATTGTATAATTTATATTTGTGTAACCATATTTGAAAAATAAAAAAAACATTAAAAATCTTTAAAATATAATTATTGAAATGTTTTCTTGCATAAGTGTAATTATTATTTAAGTGTAAGTTAATAAAACTGAATGAACTAACAAATTAGAGAAACATGAAAATAATTATATAATTGACTAGCTGTTACGCACAAGTTTTGCAAACAAACCCCATTTATATTCAGTATTTCAACAATTGACTAGTTTTGTTGTTGAAATACCATAGTAATTGTTATATAACACCTACTGCTGAGAATGATGAGAATCGCTGCAAATCAAACGAACTATTTTCAATTTGATCAATTTTCTGGAATGTTTACAATCATTCTATAATCAAACCAATATGCAATAACAAATTCAAATTTAAAACCGTTCGAACATTTGGTTAAAAAATCGAAATATATAAAAATATTTATAACAATGTCTGAAATGTTATCAATTTAATACACCTAAGTACTCAATGAAAACGAAGAATCGCATCTAAAATAGTACAGTAGAAGCCATTATTCAGGTTAAGCCTTAATCTTCTCCCCCTCCCCTCGCAGGGGAATTTCCAAAAATCCCTTCTTAGTGTGCGTTTTCATGACATACCCTAACTGTGTACAAAATTTAGTCTCTTTAGGTTCAATGCTCTGGACAATGATGAATCAATCAGTCAATCACTCAGTCAGGACAAGTAATTTTATATATTTAGATATACAGCATACAGAATATATAGTACACAAATTTTAATAAGTATCCATTTTTTTCATAACTTTGTGAATTTTTCTTTTATTATTATTTTATAGATAAAAATTTATTTCTTACCTGTTGAAGGAATGTAGGCATCATATTACGCATTTGTTCTTGTAACTGAGGATTTCCAGCAAGAAGCGGATTTTGATAAATTATCTGAAAGAAAAATTTTTGTAGCAATTCAAACACATCAGATAATATTTTTAAAACACCAATAAACAAGAACTTTGATAAAATTTTAAATATTGTAGTAAATATTTAATCAAATAAGGAACAAGTCTTCATACAAATTTTTTTAAGATATCCAAAAGTTTAACTATTTTTGTAATGGGTGTGTGTAATAATATAGTTCTTCATAACTTAAAACTTATGGAAAATCAAAAGCAGCATTTTCAGCCTATTTTGCTTTTTTATTACCAAAAAAAATAATAATAGAAATGCTGTTCAAGCAAGAAAAATGTGTTGACAGAACAACAGTGCCAAAACTGGTTTACAAAATTTTGTTCTGGCAATTTCGATATTGAAGATGCACCACATTCTGGAAGAGCAGTTGAAGTTGATGAAGACAAAATAAAGGAATTGATTGAAACAAACTGCTGAATAACAACATGAGAAATTGCTAAGAGAATAAATTTGTCAAATTAAACCATTTACGATCAGTTGAAACAACTTGGTTTTGTTTCAAAACTTGATATATGGGTTCCACATGTTCTTAAAGAGAAGCTCTCTTCGATGGGAGTTTATGGGCATTTTTTTCTTTTTGAACTTCTACCAGACAATTCCATAATTGATTTGAAAGTGTACTGCCATCAAATGGACAAATTAAGTGATACCATCAAACAAAAAAGGCCTGAATTGATCAACAGAAAAGGTGTAGTGTTTCACCATGATAATGCCAGATTTCACACAAGTTTGGTAACTCGTCAGAAACTGTTACAGCTTGGATGGAACGTGATACCACACCCACCATATTTGCCAGATTTGGCACCCTCATATTATTACTTGTTTTGGTTTTTACAAAATTTTTTAAACAGTAAAACATTTACTTTAGATGAGGATTCAAAAATCACTTGGGTCAGTTTTTTGTATGTGAAGTCAAAACTTTTATGAATGTAGAATCATGCTACTACCAGAAAGATGGCAACAGGTATTTAACCAAAATGGCCAATATATAATTCAATAAAATCTATATTATTATAAAGAGGTAAAGTTTGTAAGTTTGGATGTAGGAGGTAATCTCTGAAACTACTCATCCGATTTCAAAGATTCTTTCAGCAATATTTAGAATGGAACTTCAGGGTGGACATAGGCTGTATACTATTTCGTTAAACATTCATATACTGTAAATTAAATGAAATCTATATTATTATAAAGAGGTAAAGTTTGTAAGTTTGGATGTAGGAGGTAATCTCTGAAACTACTCATCCGATTTCAAAGATTCTTTCACCAATATTTAGAATGAAACTTTACGGTGGACATAGGCTGTATATTATTCCGTTAAACACTCATATAAATTAAAAGATATAATCTAGGATTAAGGCTTTTATGTCCAACAGATGGCACTAACTCCATGAGTACGATGACCTAAGTTTGCTTTTCTGTGAGGATCAACTAAAGCAGATCATCATCTATCTATCTATATAAATAAAAATGTAATGTTCGTTTGTTCCTACTGATTCCTTTGAAATTTTGACACAACATTGCAATCAAATATACATGTGTTTTTATATAATATACATGTCAAAATTCCCCCCACTGGCAGGAGGGAGATGGACAGGATTAAGGCTTACTGTGAAGAACTCTGCTTGTATTTATACTATTTTAGATGTGATTTTTTGCATTTTATAGGGTATGTCAACAGAATATACACTAAAAAGGAATTTTTTGATATTCCCCCCACGGGGAGAGGGACAGGATTAAGTCTTACCATGAAGAACTTGACTTCTATTATAGTATTTTAGATGCGGTTTTTTGCATTTTAATAGGGTACATCAAGAGAATGTACACTAAGAAGGGATTTTTTGAAAATCTCTCCCATGGGGGAAGTGTTATACATTTATAATAGATACATTTTGAGCCACAACAACGCATGGCAGGGTCTGCTAGTGTTTATATATTATAAGAAAATTGTTTTTCCCCCCCACAAAAAAAATTTTTTACTTTCTGAACAATCCAATATAATCTTTCTTCTTCCCCAGCATAATGATTATACCTGATGTGCTGCTTCTGGAATTGTTGTCAAATGTTCAGACCACAAAAAGTGTGTACATTTAGAAAAACAATTTGAATGCATCCTGTCTTTTGACCTAGGTCAGAGTATGCATTGGAGAAGTTTTCATCCTGTCTGGTAGTGCAACAGTTTTGGTATTTTTGTCTGACTTCCTCACCAGTGATTTTCCTATTTACAACAGAAATAACATTCCCACAAACCCCCTTTTTTTTCCAATTTTGGTTTATGTGTATCCATAATATAAAGTATTTAGAGTAATGATGTTGAAAATGACAATCACTTTTTGTGATGCTTTTAACTCATGAAAGTCAATCACACCCCACTATGAATTGGCCAGGCCTGTTATATAATATTTAACAAAAAATGTGTATTGATTGTTTTAAAAATTAAATTTTAAACATCTTTTCAAATATAAAAACCTGTAATATAGCTTTTTTATTTATAAATTAAAACATAATTTCTTTCAAATGTTGATATAACATTATTAATAAATAAAATAAGATACCTGAGCAGCCATCTCTGGATTTGCAGCTAATGATTGAAGCATTCCTTGCATATAAGGTGCATTAAACATACTCTGCATTAACTGGGGATTATCAATTAACTGCTGCATGAGACTTTGTAAGCCAGGTGTGTTAAACATGTTATTGGTACCTAAACCTGAAGAAAATGTATTTGGTGTGGTATTAGAAGAACTTGTAGTGGAAGGTGTTGTTTGGCCACCTGATCCTGATGATGTCCAAGGATTTGGTAAGGGTTCTCTATTTTCAGTGCCTTGTTGAGTGCTATTATTAGGTCCACCTGAATAAAATTAAAGTTTAATAAAACTTGTCAATAAAATATACTGAAATATATAAATGCAATAAACAATTTTAAATTTAAATATGTGAACAGATAGATTTAAAATAACCTTCATGCAAATAAAAAAACAAAATAATTAAAAGTTACTTTTGAATATTATTAAACAAAAATTATTTTACCATGAAACTTACCATTATTTACAAGTGCGGCAAAAGGATTTGATCCAAACTGTTCCTGTGCAGCATTAAGCATTGGTTCCTGTAACTCAGTATACATTCTCCTCAAAGCATTATAACCACCAGGAATACTCTAAAATATCCAAATGTAAACAAATGTACATAGCAAAATAACAACAACAATTTTCATCTCAATTTCAAAAATACCAGAATAATTTTCATATAATCACAACATATCATATATTAACAGCCATGCTTATATAAATATATCACTTTTTTTTTAAGGTATTTACATAGATGTATACATAAGCCAAAATGTATTTTGGACCAATTGCCCATCTTCAGTTGGCTCTTTCACAAATATACATACATAAAGATTAAACTTACAACTGAGATTTTTAGAATACATTATGTTACTATCAGTTTCATTACTTCCATTTTCAAATTTTCTATTCATTTACTTATGATTTTACTCAGGTTTCTCATTTCTTAGCCTTTTGCTAGTCCTGGGATTTCAGGAAAAAAGTGAACTGTTTTCCAGGATCCGTGGGTAGAATTAATTATTTTTAAGACAATACAAAATACCTTGAAATCAAATGATATAATTATTTTTCATTTTTTGAAGTAATTTAATTCATTCTGCAACCTCCAAAATCATATTAATAATGCTGTGTAAGATATATATTAAAAATTACCTTTGAATTACATAGAAATTTTCACAAATAGAAAAAATTTATTAAAGTTTGCTGGAAACAACTGCATACAACAACAACAACAACGGGGGGAAAAAAGCTTTGAATTGAGTTGAAAATTTTTAAAAAATGAACTTAGATCAATCAAACTTCTAACTTAAAGATAATTTTTGTTTTTTAAATAAAACAAAATACAAAATATTATTGTAAATTTTTATAATAAAATTTTAAAAAGCAAAGATTGTCAACAATACTCTGATCACTCAATCTGTTTCTTATTTTAGTAATGAAAAATCCTGCTACTAAGAATGCCCTTTCCGATTCAATTGATGTGAGTGGAATTGTGTTTAATGCATTTAAGAGAAGACAGATGTTATCTGTTTTTTCACCTGTAACCTGGAAGATTTCTAGTTCATTTTCGAGATTGTAGTGCTTCTTTTGCTCTCTAGTATTCTTGATTTATCTACTTTAATAGAAACATCATGCTTATAGCCCAATAATTCAGCAGTTCGTTTGTCTTTAATAATCAGGTTTACGAAGAAAAACTTCATACTTTTTGTATCCTTTTCCAATTTGCACAACCTGGCATTACGCAGTTATTGAAGCTACTGGGCATGGTTAAAAATTAAGACAGCATAAGCACAATTATTCCAGATATTACAGGTTCTGAGAAGTAAAGAATTTTCAGAGTCCTGCCACAAATAAGCTACATATTGATTATTGATCATTTGTGACATGCCATAACAAGCAAAAATGTAAAAAAAACTAATAAGTATGTTTAAAATTAATAAATACAAATGTATTCTGACAGTTTATGAGTTAATTATACTTTCTATTTGCAAAATTTCCTCAACCTTAACACAAAATAAGAAAAAAGTGAACTTTTAAGAAATTTGCAGGATTTCCCGGAATAAGAAGAATTTCCCGGGATATTTCCCGGGTTAAAAAAATAACCGGGATCCCGTTTGAGAAATCCTTAGCGAGGTTAACTGGACATGAAGAGTAAAATCTTAACCAGAAAATCCACGTGGATAATTGCAATTTTTTCAACTTTGTCTAACAACAAAACATGCAAGAACAGAATCTTATGGGGAACTGACTTAAGTCAGTTCCCCATAAGAATAGGAAATGAATAACGATAAAATATAAACGATAAATTAATAGGAAATGAATAACGATAAAATATATCATAAACATCGAATTTTATTAAACAAATATAATTAAAAATTGGAAAAATTGTTAAAAATACGTTTTCAAATAGCTTTATATTTTTTTAATTTGAATTAAATTTCGTTAATTTTTTGAATAATTTGCATATTTGTTATCTGAAATGATATTCAAAATATTTAATGATTCTTATCAACCAACAGTGAAGAGGCTTTGATCTAGAACTAGATAGATTTCTGCCATTGTTAAATTTAAAATAGTTTGAGATAATTTAAAAAATTATAGTATATTATTCCCTTGTATTCTTTAGCAATAATATATAAATTTTTCATCCAAACTTCTAATAATGTTTTTGCGAAAACTCAAAAATCCAAGATGTAATTAAAATATTTACTCAAAATTGCAATCCAGAATTCATTAACAATAATTCAAAAACTAGAATGTACTTTTATATTATAATTTTTAAAGCATTATATTTATTAGGCAGTTGTTTATATTATGATACTAATGAATATTTACAAATATGTCACGAAGATACGATACTTGATTATGTTAAACGATAACATTAAGTTTATTAAATATTTAAACGAATATACGAATATATTTAATATAAACTTAATTAACAAGGATACAGCATAAATGAAGAGTTAAAAATAATACCAATTAATTTTATTTTTTATTCAGTAAATTTGTAAAATATAAATACTATTTTCCAATGACAAAAGCTTCTATTAGGCTATATTTACTACATTATACAAAACGAAGCTCTTACTCGACTTTTCAGGCACTCAAACAGGAGGTAAAGGAATAAATTTTCAATTATATTACGATTTTAAATTTAAATAATGGCAAATTCTTAGAAGGAGTAATTTTGTTAAATTGTGAGAATTTTTTTTTATATTTACGTTTAAGAAATATTAAGACACATTAACATAAAGTTAAAATTATGTATGGCGCTACCTGTTAAAAAGTTTTATTTTATTAATTATTATAAAAAGGCAAAATTGTAAATTCCAGTAACGAGTAAAAGTTTCTTTAAGTCCGATCTCCACTCGAAATATGACACATAACCCCGTATATCTCACATCCTTCGACCTTTATCCACCAAAATTTGATAGCTTCAACGCCCCTTATAAGCAAGTTATCCTGTCATGTTAAATTTCGTTTCTTAATATTTAACTCATCCTGAGATATTAAACTAAATAGACATCAACACACACACATGAAACTTTTTCCCGTTTTACTTTCCCGGTTGTCATGTATACCCAACAAGGAAAAGTGTTGGAACCGCGTCAAATTTTACTCTCCGAGTTTTTTTCCACGCTTTGAGACCCCTTGAACTCATAAAGTCAAATAAGGCGAAAAATTCTGTGATATGTACGTGTGGTTTTGTATTTATTCGTTTAATATCTCAAGATGGGGTAAATTAAGTAACGAAATTTTGCATGGTAACTTGTATATAAGGGATACTGACGCTATTAAATTTTGGTGGTTAAAGATCAAGGGAGTGAAAAGATAATTTGGTGGTTAAAGGAGGGGGTTATGTGTCATATCTCAAGAGTAAGTAAAGTAATGAAGACTTTACTTACTCGTTATTAGCATTTACAATTTATTTTTTATATAAAACTCATCACTACTCTCAAAATTAAGCTTTTGGCTATTTTATAATAATAATTTTAAAAAATATTTATAACAAAATCTCATAAGAGATGGCGCAACACACAACTTTTCTTTTATTATGATTAATAATATAAAAGTTATTTTTAAAATAAAATCAGGAAAGTTACACAACTCGTTGCTGGAATTCTTTTTTGACTTTTTTGAGGTAAGGGATCTCAACTTCACATACAAGAAGCTTGGCATATAATCAAATTAAATAAATCAACAATCAAATTAATTAAATCAGTAAAAAAAACTTTGGATTTGCAAAAACCCCGAAGGGTCAAATTTTACACGATTCCAATACCAACCCGTGTTATATACTTGGGATTGTAAATTTACCGACTTTTTCATTTACCAGTAATTCGGTAAATGAAAATTAAAATACCGGTAAATTTTTTTCCTGAAAAATAAAATTAAGGTGATAAAAAATATAAGTAATTTTGATTTCCATTTCACATTTTTTATTTCAAAGATATATAATATAAAAAATATAAAAATTAAAGTGTTATTCTAAACAAACTATAATAATAACTTTTAGAAACACGAATAAAATAATACAGAAAAATAAAAATAAAACAGAAATAATATATAGTACCTAATACCATTTTATTGTTTACTAGAGAGGTTGCGGCCGACGCTTTCATCGCGGAAACGTGTACGCCGGACGTTCAGCGCTGCCTTCCTATAAGCCTAGAAGTTTGACAATGGTGTTTGGAATGTCGAGCATGATTTCACTGACTATCCAAACACCATTGTCAAACTTCTAGGCTTACAAGAAGGCGGCGCCGAACGTCCGACGTACACGTTTTCGCGTTGAAAACTTCGGCCGCAACCTCGCTAATATTTAGCAATAATAACCTATAAAATAGAATTTGTAAAGTTATAGTCGATAAGTGCGCGAGTATAAGAAACTTTTCGTAATGTCGAAGAAATTGCAAAGGAAATACGAACAGGAATGTAAGAAACGTATATCATTGGAAAGAAAAATTGAAAAGGAATGAGAAAAGCCAAAAATGACTAATACCGAACGATGCAGATTGTATAGAGACCGTAAGAAAACTGAGGGCGTCAATTCCGACACGAATACTTCGTGTGTGCCGCCATCCGAACCGGAATGTGATAACCACCGAGACTTTATTCATTTACATCTTATCCTTTCTCCAATAGCACAAAGATGGATTCACCGCCTTAAACCATTGCGATTGTGTCCCGTTCGCAACCCTCCCAATTTTTCGACCTGCGCGACATCTGGTTATTAAAGAAATAGTGATGATATTTTTAAAATTTTTTCCACCCCGTGAGCACTAAGAGTACCTCTATTAGCGAACCCATTATGGGATCGGCCAGGCCCACAATGGGGTGGCCGGATTGTGAGGAACATATCCGATCGGATTAACCCCCGAAAAATTTCTGGGGATTTTTCGACCCAGTTGGGATTTGAACCCGTGTCCCCCCCAGAATAGCAGTGTGGGGCTTAAAATTTTTAATTATGTATAGAAGAAAATAATAATCATTTAATGTTGTAAAAAGAAACCGTGAAACGAGGAAAAAAACGAAAAATGAATATTTTATGTCTATAAAAGGACATGTTTGTATAACTTTCCTGAAAGACGAACTTCACTTGTTAAAACAATAGATGAATATAAGTCCTAAGATCGAACAACTTCTATAGAGATCGAATTGTCAGTCGGTGTTGACTGTCTCGCGATCTGTGTTCTGATCTTGTTACGTTTCGTAACGAGTGAAAACCAATTGAAAAGCGAGGGCAAGCCGTCATCGACCTATCGGAATGTTCGATCCGGGACCCAAAAAAGGAACTTATAAAAACCGCGCGAGTCAAAGACGGGACACACTCGGTTCTAGATTAGTAGTCCTCCCATCTTGGACGTGTGCGCTTCTGTAGAAATAGGAAGGAAATTTCGGATATCGTGGATACGAATCTCCTCTGCTGTGTCGCCCTGGGCCACCCAAGTTTGTAGGAGAAGAATCGCCCAAAGTCGTGCCCAGCGCCCCGGGGCCTACGATTGTTTCGCTGTCTCCGCCGAAAGGAAGAAAAAGAAATCCCGAACATTCGAACTTAATCCTCGTTCTTTGTGCGGTGATACCCCTTTGTTCAAGTAAATTTTGTAAGAAATTCTTATTTTTATTAAACGGATTGACGACGAGGAACCGGTCTCTGAGAGTTTTTTCCACTCCCACACGTTGGTCGTGACCGCGCGACAATCCTGACTAACGCAGTCAGTGGGCAAACTTCGCAGTAGGTCGACACTTCGACCTCTGGGCCATCCGGCCAATGCGATGATATCAAACGAAATAAATGGCATCCTTTCACAAAAAACTCGGAGGGTGAAATTTGACACGATTCCAATACTTTTCCTGTTACGTATACACAACAGCCGAGAAAGTAATAGAGATATAATACCTATTTGGTAATTGTTTATAACGTTCGCTTCTTTATTAACTTCACAAAGAGATCATAATATTAAACATAATAATTCTTAAAGGGATCAATTTTTTATGCGATGTTTTCACTACTGAATTCTGTGTTTTTCAAATCGTATTTTGCTGATTTCATTATGAATTCTGGTCCGAACACACGTCGACTGTAGANAAAAAAAAAAATATATATATATATATATATTTTTATCTAAAAATTGTTATATTTAAGTAATTATATTAATGAATTAACTACAGTCACATATAATACAGTCTAATAACTCAAATAATCAAATTCAATAAATGAAGTAACTATTTCCAGATTACATTCAGACTGTAACATGGCTAAGTAATCACAGAATTATTTTAATATTTAATAATTAATTAGCCATTTAAGCTTGAATGTAATCTGGCAATAATAATTTAATATGGTTACAATGAATTAAATAACTATCTAAAAATAAATTATATATAATTTTTCCAAGACATTTTAATATTTTTAATTATTCATTTATGAATTATTTAAATAATGTAGTAGTAATTGGCTTCAAATTGCAGATAATTAAATTGAAAATCAGAAACTATATAAAAAGACTAGTTAAGTAATGTCATTTTGAAAGCATAATATAACTATAGAATAAAAAAAGCTGGCAATGTTATTGCTTGACTTGCCCAGTACTAATTTTTTTTTTGTTTCCACTATTAATGATTTTTATTTCAATAAATTAATCTTCCTCAACCTATTTAATATTTTTGGATTCTTTGATCAAATTTTATTGAAATTTGTGGTTTACAAAACAAGAAATTTTGATTTCTCATGAATTAAAAATTTTTTAAAATAAATAACAAATGACAGAAGGTGCCAATTGAGATCAAATGAAACTTTATTATTTGATAGTAATGAGAACAACATGATATTTTCAAACTAATATAAGTCTAACAATTTATTGTTAGACTTATATTAGTTTGAAAATATATTAAATAGCCTTTAAGATGGATAGATTTTCATGTTGTTCTCATTCTTATACAATTTTGATCCAAAAGGAGTTGGATGGTGCTTTAGAACATATCAAAAAACTGATAGAAAAAAGTTATAAAAAACTGATTATGACACTGAATCTGAGTCAAAAGATATCAAGATTGTAGAAGATAATCAGGAAAATGAATCTAAACAATTGGCTAATTAGACAGATAACTAATGTAGAAGACAAGACTGATAAAAATGTTTGCAAACAAGTCATATAATTACTAAATATGCCAAATGTAAAGGAAATAAACAGACTGAAATGGAATGATTTTTTTTTTTATCTAACTGCATCTATTCAATAAAAAGTTCTAGGAATAATTTCCTCTTTTATAAAAAAAAAAAACACTAACTATTGGAGGATATGAAGTGATATTATATATGTGCTTTAATAGCCACAATGCACCATCTCATGATATTCTAAAAGGTGTACCCCTCTAAGGGTGAAAAACTAAATAGTCTTTTTCAGTAATGACAAGTATGAGAACAATGATAAGTCCACACTTATTTATAGTACAACTTTGTCGTTAAAAATTGTATTCTGAAAATCAAACATTCATTTTAAAAACAGGAAACTTTTTATTTAGGAAAGGTTTTATTTTATCTGGTAAGTAAAATTCATCATGTATTTAAATTTTGATATTTTATTTCATAATGAAGTCTAGAAAATTTTAAATATTAAATTAAAAAACAAACTAAAAGAAAAAGAATAAATCTGCTCTTCACAGATAAAAAAATTTGTCAATCTATTCTTGTACGTTTTAATTAACTCTAAATTCATGTTCTCTATGATCTTATATGATGTTTCTGCTGATCATCACACACAAATATTGGATTCATCCTTTAGATTTTTAACTTTTTTTTTTATTTTTACACCACATAATGATTCTGAATTAATAGCTACTACTGAAGAAACTATTATATTATTATAAAATATTACATTATTATACAAGTTTCCTCATTTTCTGTAATAAACTTTAAAATTAATTTTTTTAAAGTTTGCTTTCTACTAAATTGTTTTTAATTACATTTAAAAATTTTAATTTGTAGTTTGTTTTGCATATTAAGATAATAAATTATTATTTATGTCAAACTAAAAAAAATGCGAAGATTTAATAAATACTTACTGATGTGGAAACAGGAGGTTGGTCTTGATTCTGTAATTTAAAATATTTAAGTCATTAGTTAAAAAATTAATAGAAAAATTTTTAAAGTTTGATAACCCAAATTTGAATTTTAAAATTACAGTAGAGCATCGATTATCTGAATACTGATCAACCTAAACATCGATTAACCAAAAGTGCTCGTCTAGCAGATTCAAATTTCTGCTAGTGCAGCACTTTCCCCCTCCCTGCCAACCTAAACTGTAGGTCTACTTTTTAATTAAAACCCCTTTAGTTCTTTGCCCGAGTTAACTCAGGCATGTTATATAGCCTTACATAAAACTTGGTCCTTTCAGCCCCCCAAAATTTTTGTTTTTTTGAATTTTTGGAATGTTTTTTAAGTCTCCAAATTTTTTCAAAAATTTTTATCGCGATTTTAATGAGCCTTTGATAAGGCTCGATTAAGGCTTAATTGTTTTTTAATGGGAGTTTTTTATCAAATTTATTTCATGGTTCCTAAGTTGTAGCGCACGGATTTTCCTTTGGTAAATTTAAAGCTGCTTTCTGATGTCAAAANCTGACAAAAACTTTCTGTATTTCTTCAAAGACTCTTAAAATAAATCTAGCTATTTAACATTATATATTTAATTATAAATATATAGTTATCAGTTATATATTTAGTATTGAGATAAAGAGAGTGGCAAAAAGAAGTTCAGACAAATTTTATTTACAGGATGCAGACATTATATGGGGAGAACTAGAATATATAAAATTGGTTGAAACAAATTGTCATGAATATAAGAAATAGGAAAAGCAGCTTAAACAGTCCAATGCAATAAAATTGCAAAATCAAACTGCATTGTGAGCACTTACATTATTCAAATTTATGGTGTATTTTGCTTTATATCAGAGGAGGAACTATAATGGAACAAAGAGCCTGAAAGCAACAGAGGCCCAAATATGTCAAATAAAAAGGGTGGTTCTTCTTTCAGCCAAGGGCTAAAGACTTTTTGGAAAGAATGCAAGACATATCTTTTGTGGCCAGGGACATAAGAATTTCAAATCACGGCCCAAAGTGAAGTTGTTCCACTTTTGATGTGATATACATATTATATACTATAAAATCTATATAAATTATATAAAATGATTGAAATCAATCTATATAACTTTACACATCTATTTATAGCTTTACATAGTCACTTTTATAATACATCACTTATTTGTTAGAGTAATATTGGTATCACTCCTTTGATAAACATCCAGAAATAAAATATCATCAAACACTATTTTCTTCATTTATCTTTTTGAATCAATATATTTAATAATGTTCATTCATCTCATAAATTTTAAATTCCTGCTTTAATTTGATAAGAAAAGAATAATAATGATAAACTGCTATAAAAAGTTTGAAATATTTTGAAGTTTTTATAGCAGTTTTATGAAAGCTTAAATTTTTAAATAAATAAAACAAATTTCAAAACTATATTATTAAAATTTACATTAAATAATATTTAAAAATTCTTACTTCTAAATTACTAAGAGCTCTATCTTGGGTTCTCATCATTTCTTGCAACATAGCAGGATTTCTTACAACTTCCATTGTCTGTCTTAATAAATCGGGATTATTCAAGACATGACTAATTTCTGGATTCCTCTGCAAAATAAAATTTAATAATAAGAATCATAATAAGATTAAAAATTATATGGCGTAAATGTTTTGTTTAAAAATAAATAATCATCATATATATAACTAAAAGTTATTTAATTATAAATATTAAAAAAATATTTACTATGTAGATATGATTTCTAATTATTAAAAACTAAATATTAATATTTTATTAGAAAGTTACTAATTTAAAATGTTAAAATTAGAGTTAATTTTTATTTCCTACCTCCATCAGCTGTTGCATTTGAGGGTTGCTAGTAATAAGCTGGCGCATATAATCAGGATTAGACATTATAGACTGAACTAATGGATTATCCATCATTTGTCTCAACAAATCTGGATTATTCATAACCTATAAAATAAATTTATGCTTTAGTTTTATATTATTGTCAAATTTAGATAATATTGCTACATACATTTAGTGTACCAAAACATTTTTTAAAATCTCAATCCGTCCAGTACTTTCATATACAGAACATTCTGAACATCTTAATGTCAATCACAAAAATTTTATCCCAACAAAAAATTTTAGATTTTTTGCTTTTCCCAGAATTATTTCTTAATATAAGTTTAAAAATTCATAATTCATAAGATTTTACACAATAAAGTTATATTAAATGAGAAAACATTTTAACATTTTTCTAAACTCAAAAGTAATTTGAATATATGTATTTCAGTTAATTAAAATTGTGATACTAAGCCCAATGGTCAGCAAATCTGAGTCATTTGTGGAAGATTTCATCTTTGTCCCTATATACCACATAGCTGCCTCCAACATGATTATCAATTTTGAAGCCATCCGTAAACACTTTAACAGAAACTTTAATAACAACTGCAAATTTAATCAGATTAAGATCTCCAGGGTAATGAGCGAGGGGAAAGGGAGTGGGCTTCTCCAAATCATCGGCATTAATTGTGCAGGAAGGGTTGATGTTAATGTTTTGTCCCCACTTGATATTCCACTGTTTGTTGTATAAGTCAATAACCTTTTCAATTGGCGGTTTGCGGTTACATATACAGTCGACCCCCCACAATACTGTTGATAATTCCGTTTTATATGAATTCCATGTTGTACGAGTCACTTAGATTTTACAAATACGTGAGCTGTTAACAGCCCAGCACACGTATTTGTAAAATCTAAGTGACTCATACAACATGGAATTCATATAAAACAGAATTATCAACAGTGTTATAGAGGGGTCGACTTGTACTGTAGTATCAATTTCTCCAATTGCCATTTTAAACTTTCATTTAATTCTAATATTAATTTTTCATCAGATTCAGACTCTTCATTAGTATTTATAGTTGTAATTTGTAAAAACTGTTGCTTTATTGCTTTTGAAAATTTTATTGTATTCATAATTGAAAACAAATTTTCATTTATGTGAAAAATAGATTTTCATAATTATATTAACAATGCAAATATGACAAATGCAAATATGATAGTTTATGTTTTGAAAATTTGTTTTTATTTCATTGAGGCAATTTATACAAATTTTTTATATTACTGTACATTTCCACAGATAAGACAATAGTTGAATCATAAAAAAAGGCCCCAAAAATCTGGGGTTGTCTTATAGGACAGATACAAAAAAAAAAAAAAAACAATTTAAACTTGTATAAATTAAAACTATTATAAAAAAAAATGGACAAACTAATTATTTACTAGTAGGGAGTAGGGTATGGCACAAAATAGAATAGCCCATACGACATTTCTGTGAATAGTAAAGGTCATTACCCAAATGCTGGAATCAGTGTAAATGTTTGCAACAATTGCAAAGCAGTGCTGCCAGATGCAAGAAAATAAAATTTGTTCATTCAAAAGTTACAAATAGAACAATTCTGTATATGCTATACAGTATTATTATTATTATGATGATGATTGCTGGTCTAAACCAGGAGTTGGAATTAGCGGCTCGCGAGCCGCATGTGGCTCTTCGGACATAAATTCCAATTTCACCTTACCTCATTTCACTGCAGCCTTATAACTTATGTGTTTACGAGATAGAGCTGCCGAACAAACTTCAACTCATAAGCCGTCCGCACATGACCATACTTGCATTGTTCAATATGAGTCGCATAAGAGTGGTAGCATTTGAAGCATATCTATATATATAACGCATTGAACACGTGTCCATCCATCCGTGTAACGTTATGCCAAAAACGTTCACTAGAGGCGCCCCTGTCGTGTGTCGTATTTTGCACATTTAAATTAATATGCGGCTCTCTGGTACTTTTGTTATCCTGTTTTTATGACAATTTGGCTCTTCTCACTTGACAAACTGCCGACCCCTGGTCTAAACTAAATTCATAGGCCGTTGATAGTTCGAGGTCATCTTATAGGACAGATATATGCTAAAACTATAAAACTTTGACAAAAATTTATAGAAAATATATAAAATAAAATATATGCTTGTCTTATCTGAAGAAATATACGGTATTTTTAAAAGTCCAAAATAAAAATTTCAAGATGTTGAATGTTTTACTGGTCATCTCAAGAAAATCATCTTCTAACAGCATACCATCACCTGCTAAAAATTTGGGATCAAAAGTGATAATTATTCAGTTTGTATTAAGAGAGAAATTTTTCAGCAAGTGTTCATTGTCAGTTTATTTAAAATGAAATTTCATGTTAAAAAATAACTAAAAAGTATTGTAAGTTAATGTGCATAAAATTTGAATGGAAATTGAGAAACAGTTCATGATATAAGTAATTTGCATTAATCATTTTTTTTTAAACTCTCTTCACCTTGTGAACCTTCTTCCATATCCATCATGGGTTCAGTCAGACTCTCAATGAGATGGCTGGGTGAGGGACAGGGCCCAACATATCCATGGCATACTGCTCACGAAAAATTCCTGACAAGCTACTCACTCGGATTCAATCCAGTTCCCCAGAGCAGTATGCCGATATCTTAATCACCTTGGCCATCTAACCATTAGTACGTTTGCACTGACAAGGTTCAATTGTATAATATATTCAAAGATAATTTTTTTAAGTGTATTATAATATGAAATTAACTTAATGAAAGTAATATTTTACAATAAAAATTTCTTTCTAAAGTAAATACAATTTTAGATAATTAAAATACCAATTACATAAAACCTTTGATATCAACAATCAAACACTTTAATGCAAAATAAGCAAAGGTTTTTGGCCATTTTCAGTGCCATTTTCACTCTAATATAGAAATCAAATATTATTCAAACATAACAGAACAAATTACAAAATACATCATGTTTGAATACAAATTCAAAAACAGAATAATGATGTGATTGGCTAGAAATTGTAATCCAGTCTTATAAATTACTAAATATACATAAAAAATGCTATTTACATGCACTAACAATTCTATGAGTGAAGAATTTTATATTGTGTTCTCAATGCTTGAGAAATGGTACCCTGGTTCTTAAAATTTATGAACATACTCTTACACATTGATTCATTTTTTTACTGCGTACCAGAGTTTAATCTTTTAAAACTAGTTCCCATCAAGTGCTTTCAAACTTTTTTAACAGTCATAAGAGTTGGTTTTGGTTTGAATCCATCTAACCTCTTACACAAACACTGTTTTTTGAATATTTTTTAAAATATCTCCCAAAGGCTACTTTTTGGAGCATTAGGTTCTATCCACATTTTTACTCAAAATTACATTCTATTTCAGAGATTCTTAATCTTTTTTATTCCATGGACCCCTTTTCCTGTCAGGTGAAGGTCACAGAACCCTTCTCAGAATAATGTTTTTAAATGTGTGAAATCTGCAAATCTGATGTAGTTGTAAAAAAAAAAAAAAAAAAAAAATAATGTAAACAACTCTGATAGAAAAAATGCTCCTTGTGAGAATTAGATCTGAGGTCACCGTTTGTGATAACAATTAGATGGAAAAGTTGACACATAGGTGTCAAGAATGCACCGTTGTTGTCAACATTTGACAATCATGTGACTCCTTTTCCACAACAATCAAGTAAAAGCTCAAGCCTCCGGAAGCTCAGGGTTATCCAAAGAAAGTTATACTTGTCAATGTGCGCATCTTGTCTCCTGGACCTCCATACAACGGACTTGAATGGACAAAAGGAGAAGATATCAGTAGAAGACAGACTACAGCTTCAAACTTCCATACTTATCGCCATACTACAGTTCCTAAGCCGGACTACAATTCCTACAAACCATTCGACGCATACCATTCGTTTTCTCATAGAGGTATTTTTATTAGAGCATTTTGAACTCTTTCTCACTCTGAGAATAGGCTTAGCTGCAAAGAGCTGCCCCTTTGTATATTTGTCTAATATTTAATCTCATTTAACTGACTTCGTTAACCTTAGATTTTAATAAATGCTTTGTTTATTTGTTTAACCTGTCTCCTGTCTATCCAAGGACACCTGTCAACTTGTTCACCCCCTCGCCACTAGATAAAAACCCATCCAACCGACAAGGAGATCTTACTCTCCTTGTCAGTTGGATGACCAACTACTCTACACGGATCTTACTGATCCATGCAGAGTAGTTGGTCATTAGGGATTGACCCAGTGGCCCACTGCTTATCTCACAAATGCATAAAATAAAATTATAAAAAACCCAGTTATATAGTAATGTAGGTACTTCTTTCTTAACACAATAAAACAAAATTAAGATAATAAGCAGATTTTTACCCTTCCAAGTCCACAGATTTCTATGGACCACTGATTAAGAACCACTGTTCTATTTGAATCACTCATTCGAAAATAACTTTTCTTTAAAAACATATCCTCTTCTAATATATACAATGCAGTATTAAAAATTTTAAAATGAAGAAGTTTTCTAATGATCAAACAAATATAAAAACATGATTGAAAACATGCAATTACAAAAAAATTTATCAATCATAATTTTTCCCTAAATCATAAAATAAATATAATTTATTATTATTATACTAATTAAACTTTTTACCTCCATCTGCAATCTTTGTTGTAAATCTGCAATATTTCCTCCAGTTAGTCCCAAACCAGCAAGAGAAGGAAGACCACCCAAATTTCCAATACCAAAAGCTGTAGTAGAAGGTGTAGTATTCTAAAAAGAAAAAAAAA